ATTGACAGCAGCAGCAGCACTGCTGCTGCTGCTGCTGCTGCTGCTGCTGTTGCTGCTGCTGTTGCTGCTGTTGCTGCTGCTGTCTGTTGGCTATTGTACACCCGAAGATGCAACACCCGCTGCTGCTGCTGCTTCTGCTGCTGCTGTTGCTTCTGCTGCTGCTGCTGCTGCGCAGCTCTCTTTCCCTCTAAGAGGAAAGAAGAAAGAAGGTGTTGGGGTGTATATACAGCTGAATAAAGAAAGACAATAATAAGGACAGCTGCCTGCTGTATACATGACTTAAGGAGAAAAAAAGAAGAAAAAAAAAAAGAATAAATTCAGTGCATGCAAAGAAAAATATTTATTTATTTATTTATTTATTTATTTTCTTCTTTTTTTTTATTAAAAGGAATTAAAAGAAGAAAAAAAAAAAAAGAAAATATATTAAGAAGGGTAGATCGAGCCAATAAGGAAGAAGAAAAGGGCTTATTTATATAAACCCTAAACCCTAAACCCTAAACCCTCGTTATTGAGCCAATAAAGACAAAATAATAATTGGGGTGTATATTAATGCATGCATGCGCAGTAAGCAGCTAGCAAAAGAAGGAAAAGAAGGAAGAAAGAAGATTCTTTTGCGAATAAAATGTATTAAATTAGAAGGAGATGTTATTAAATAGAATAAAGAAAGTAATTAAATTAAATAAACAAAGAATGACGGGGTAATTTCAAGAAAAGATTGATGAATGCATAGATGTATATATATATAGCCAATAAAGAAGGTAGGTAGGTAGGCAGGTATAAATAAATAAATAATGTGGTGATCTTCCTGCCTTATATAGGAATAAATACACGAAAAGAAAGGTTTTTCTTTAATTAAAATAAAAACAAATAATTTATTCATAAAGCAATGAGGATAAAAAGGAAGAAAAACAATTTTCTTCCTTTATACTGCGCCCGCGCATGCAACATAATATACAAAAGACGGCGGCGTACGCCCGTCCTCTCTCCCCAAGGGAGCGTTTCTTCTTAATAAGGAGGTAATTCGTCAGATATTTTATGAATTAAATAATAATATAATAAATTTAAAAGAAAAAAAAAAGAAAAACAAGAAAATAAACAAAAAAAAAGAAGAAAAAAAACAAGGAAGCCAACGGTCAGCTGAATGGACTTGCATGCTGATCTTGATGGTTGTTGCATAGGAAGGAAATAAATAAAGAAAAAAGATGAATAAATTGTTCGTTCTTATGGTATTCTTCATCAATTTTCTTCTTTTTTTTAATATAAATACATTATTTATGTTTATAAATATTAATATTAATTTTTTTCTCTTTTTTTCTTCTTATTTTATATCCTTCTTATACCAAATAGCTGACCAGTCCGCCCATCAATAGAGCTTTCCTCTCTACTGTATAGGAAGGCGGCAAGGCGGCTACTTTCTTTCTTTTTTTTCTTCTTTTTTTCTTCTTTTTATAGGATAATTCCTTCTTTATTTAATTTAATTATTTATTATTTATTTAATTACTTTTATTTATTTAATATTTTTATTAATACAGTAGAAGATCATAAAAAAGCAGTCGTTAATTATTCATATGTCTTCCCTCCGCACAGAGCGCAGCAGCGCAGCAAAGAAGAAAAAGAAAAAAAAAAAAAAGAATTTCTTCTTGTTTTTCTCTTTTATTTTAATTTATTTTATTAATTAATTAATTTAATTTAATTATAAATATATTTATTATTTATTTTAGCCATTAAATGACAGGCAATATACAATAAAAAGAAGAAAGCGCTACTATACAGTCGCTTGCTGCTTCTTCCTTTCTGCTTCTTTTTCTCCCTTTGCTTTCTATACTAGAAATGTGCTGCTGCAGCAGCAGCAGCAGCAAAAATGAGCAGCAGCAGCAGCAGAACTGAGCAGCAGCAGCAGCAACAGCAGCAGAACTGTGCAGCAGCTGCTGGAGCTTTTTCTTATTAGCAGCAGGCATATAGAGGTATACAAATATAGATGCATGCATTCTTTTCTTCTTTGTTTCTTTTTTATTCCTTTGTGTCCTTTTATTTATAATATAATTATTAATATATACCTAATTGTACACTTAAGGAGAAGGGAGAAATAACCAGTAAATATATAAATAAATAAATAAATGAATAAATAAATTAATTAATTAATTAATTAGGTGCCTAACTGCCTCTTTTTTTTATTTTGTCTACCTGTGCATCAACAGGAAATGCTAGGTAATTTATTTTCCTATTTAATTGCTGCTGCTATTATTTAAATAAATAAATAAATAAATAAATAAGTAAATAAATATATAAATAAACAAATAAAATAAATAAATAAATAAATAAATAAATAAAATGAATAAATAGAGAAATAACTACGATATAAAATTAATAATAAGCGTTATTATATTCGTAAGGAAATTGAGGTGTACGTACACCTCAATAAAAACGAATAAAAACGGATTTATTTGCTGTTGCTGCTGCAGCAAATAATTTATTTGCTGCTGCAGCAGGACCAATGGTCTTAAGAGAGGACACCTTGCTGCCTCAGCTGTCTTCTTAGCTGCTGCACCTTCTCTCTTGCTCCTGTTGGTTCTCCTTCCTTCTCTTCTGCTGCTGCTGCTGCTGCTGCTGCAGTTGGTACTGCTGCAGTTGCTGCTGCTGCTGCTGGCAGCAAGGTGAAGACAGGGGTGCTGCTGAATTCTTCTGCAGCAGCAACACTTGCTGCTGTTGATGTTGTATGGCACCGACTCATTGCTGGCATCTTCATGCTGCTGCTGCTGCTGCTGCTGTTGCTGATTAGGGGGAAGGGTGCGCATGCAACAGGAGGAAGATTATCTAATGTACTTAGTGTGCTGCCACTAAAGAAACTTAGACGACCAGGAGACACAGGCTCCTGCTGCTGCAGCTTCTCCTGCTGCTGCTGCTGCTGCAGCAGCTGCTGCAGGGGAAGGGTTTGCTGCTGCAGGCTGCTAATAAGCGGAGGTTGCTCCCAAGAACTCCTGCTGATGCTGCTGCTTCTGCTTCTGCTGCCTGCACTGCCTGCTTCGGCCAGCTGTTGCTGCTGCTGCTGCTGCTGCTGCTGCTGCTGCTGCTGCTCGTTGCTGCTAGTATCAGTAGATGAAGAACTGTTAAGGGCTCGCTGCAGCTTCTCCAGGTGTACGTACACCTTACCAGCAAAGTTTTCTTGTAGCTGCTGCATAAGTTGCTGCTGCATCTGTAGCTGCTGCTGCTGCTGCTGGTCAGCAGCAGGTGCTGTTGATGCATTCGTTGCATCTGCTGCTGCTGCATCAGCAGCAGCAGCAGGAGTTGCATCTTCTTTAGCAGAGGATATTTGTTGCTGCTCTCCGCTTGCTTCTCCTCCTGCGCCCTCTGCTGCTGTTGCTGCTCCTGCTGCTGCTTGCTGCTGCTGCTGCTGCTGCTGCTGGTCTTCGTGTTCCTCCATTGCTTGTGACAGCAGCTTAAGTAAATCCTCAGGGTTTGTGCTGCTGCTGCGTCTTCTTGCTGCTGCATCTCCTTCCTCTGTTGCTGCTGCTGCTGCTGCAGCATTATCTGCTGACCTGTATTGCTGCTGCTCTGCAGCAGCACCTACAGGTCCTGCAAACATGGCACTTGGAGAGAATACAGCAGCAGGACCTGCTGCTGCTGCTGCTGCTGCTGCTGCAGGTGTTGCTGCTGCAGCAGCAGCAAAAGTTGGTGGTGGAGTAATAAGGATTGGTTGATAGTGTGGGACTACTGCTGTATTCTGTTGCTGCTGCTGCAGCATTATCTGCTGCTGCTGCTGCTGCTGCTGCTGCAGGTGCAGCAGCAAATGGTGCTGGTATTTCTCTAGTTGCCCTATCCTTTGCTGCTGCCTTAATACAATTTGTTGGTAATAATTCTTCTCCCCAATAACATTCTTCTCTTTTGCTGCTAATTCTGCCTTAAGACGATTTATTTGCTGCTGCTGCTGCGCTGCACGACGCAGCAGCACCTGCTGCTGCTGTGGCCCATTCTCCTCCTCTTCCTCCTCCTCCTCCTGCTGCTGCTGCTCGTTAAAGTTGCTGCAGCTGCCAGGGCCATGGGGCTTAGGGGGACCTGCCTGTACACCACTCTCCGCTGTCTGCGCATACAGTGCAACAACACACACATCCTGCCGCTGCTGCTGCTGCTGCTGCTGCTGTTGCTGTTGCTGCTGCGGTTGCTGCTGCTGCTAAAATGTGGCGTACGCTATTGGGTGCCTATCTTTCTGTCTCTTACCTGTACTTTGGTTGCTGCTGGTGCTGCTGCTGCAGCAGCAGCAGCACCAGCAGCAGCTCCTTCCTTAGCAGCAGATTCAACTTCTCCTCCTTCCTCCCTTTCTAGTGCATCTAACAGAGCAGCAGAAGGTGATCGGTCCCGTGCTCCCTGCTGCTGCTGCTGCTGCTGCTGCTGCTGCTGCTGCAATTCCCTGAGTTGCCCAGCAAGATAAGCATTTTTTTCTTTTTGCTGCTGCAGTGAATCCTTTAATAGACGCATAACATGCAGTGTCTCCTTTAGTTGTTCTTCTGTCTCCTCATGACGATTCTTCTCTATACTTAATAAATTACGTAACTCCTGTATATATAGACACACATAAACCCTAAACCCTAAACCCTAAACCCTAAACCCTAAATCCTGAAAAGCCCTAAACCCTAAACATTGAACCCTCGTTAGTACACCCAATGAGCATCAATGCGTATGTTGTTGTTGTTGTTGCTGCTGCTGTCTTACTTGTATTTCTGCTGTAGTATCCGAGTCCTTCTCTCCCCCTGCCGCTGCTGCTGCTGCAGCAGCTGCTAACTGCGGTGTACGTACACCCTCCAGCATGCGTTTTAACTGATCATTCTCTTGCTGCAGTTGCGCCGCACGCCCCTGCAACTGCTGCAGCAACACCTGCTGCTGCTGCAACTGCTGCTGCAGCTCGGGGTGCTGCTGCTGTGCGGCTACAGAGTTTGTTACCTTCTGCCGCAGCTGCTGCAGCTGCCACCTCATGTGCTCTAGCTCTCTGTTTTGCTGCTGCAGAGATTCAAGTTCTGCTGCTGTCTTGCTGCGGGGGGAGACGTCAGCAGAAGCAGCAGCAGCAGCAGTTGTTGCAGCCTGTGAGCTGCGTGCATGCAGAAGCAGCATATGGAAAGCTATCTGCTGGGCCCCCTTCCCTATTTGCTGCTGCTGCTGCAGCAGCTGCACGTTGTCCTCAGCTAATGCATGCAACTCCCTATGCAGCTTCTGATCACACAGAAGCAAAAGGCAATGCATGCGCAGCAACACTTAACTGCCAATCGCAGCAGCAGCAGCAGCAGCAGCAGCAACACAAGCAGCAGCAGCGCGGCGGCAACAGGAATAGCAGCAAAAACAGCAGCAGCAGCATAGCACCACCATACACCACCATGGAAAGCAGACCCAAGAACAGCATCAAACATGAGCAGCAGCAACACAACCAACAGCAGCAGCAGCAGCAGCAGCAGCAGGAGGAGCAGCAGCAGGAGCAGCAATAATTTACATCAAGATGTTCTTCTGTTTGTTCATGTATTTGCTGCTGTATTTCTTTGAATTTTTTTAATTTTTTTATTTCTTTTTTTTGCTTCCTTATTTGTTCCTTTAATCTATACAACATATAATACACGCATGCAGCAGCAGCAGCAGCAGCAGCAGCAGCAGGAGCAGCATGAGCAGCAGTAGTTCATGAATGTACTTGCCGCCTTATTATTACGGTGTATGCACACTTGAAAAGGGGGGAAGAGAAGCAGCAGCAGCAGCAGCAACAGCAACAGCAGCAGCAGAGACATGAACTTACTCGTCTTCTCGTAAGGATTCAGCAGCAAAACGAACACGGTTGCCGGGCTGCTGCGCTGCATCAGTATGCTGCTGCTGCTGCTGCTGCTGCTGCTGCTGTTGATTGGCTTGAGGCCTTGAAGCAGACTGCAGCTGCAGTTCTTGCTTGTGTCTTGCTTGCTGCTGCAGCAGCACCAGTTGCTGCTGTTTCAGCTTTTGCTGCAGTGTTTGCTGCTGCTGCTGCCTCAACATTTGCTGCTGCTGCATCTTATCAGCAGCAAGATCCCTGTTGCTGTTGCTGCTGCTGCCTTCAATTGCTAAAACCTTTGATCCCTGCAACAGAGATATATCTGCCTCTGCATCGTGTACTTCTGCTGCTACTGCTGCTGCTGCTGCTGCTGCTGAGGCTGCTTGTTGGCTGCATGCACTCGGACGCCTAGGAGGAGGAGGAGTGGGGAGTTGCTGCTGCGCAGATGATTCAGAGTGACCCTTTACTGCTGCTGCTGCTGCTGCAGCAACAACAACAGATCGTGCTGCAGCAGCAGCAGCAGCAACATCCTCGTCTTGGTCATACAGCATCGGGTGTACGTCCACCTCTCTAGGGCTGAGCAGCAGCCCCACACCATTTGCTCCAGCTTGTTTATCCGTTGCTGCTGCTGCTGCTGCTGCCGCTGTTGCTGCTGTGTGGGCCTCTAGGGCTGCCGTTGCTGCTGCTGCTGCTCGCGCTGCTTCCAGTGCAGCTGCCTCAGCTGTCGTTGCTGCAGCAGCAGCAGCTTTTGCTGCAGCAGTTGCTTCCGCTGCAGCAGCAGTTTCTGCTGCAGACGCAGCTGCTTCCGCTTCTGCAGAAGCGTCTGTATCTGTATCTACTGCTGCCGTTTCTGCTGCTGCTGCTGCAGTAGCAGCAGCAGCAGCAGGTGTGCTGCTACTTGACTGGCGTTCATCCCTAGACAAACAGCTGCAGCAGCGCACTGCATTTGCTGCGCTTGTCTGCTCTGCTGCAGCAAGTGCAGCAGGAGAAGGTGTTGCTGTTGCTGCTGCTGCTGCTGCTGAGTCTTTGCTAGGGGATGCTGCAGCCTGAATGTTTGCCGTTGTCTCCTTAGCAGCACTAGCAGGGCTTGTGCCTGCTGACTCTGCTGCTTCTACGTTTGCTGCTGCTGCTGCTGCTGCTGCTGTTGCTGCAGCAGCAGTGTGTGCGCATTCTTCGTGCTGCTCTGTTTCCCCTTCTAAGCTGCTGCTGCTGCTGCTGCTGCTGCTGTGTACACTCCCCTTCTTTAGGGAAGAGTTGCAGCTGCAAGGAGACGCAGCAGCTTCTTCAGTGCATGCAGGTGATGCTGATGCTGTCTCCTGCTGCTCCTGTTGCTGCTGCCGCTGCTGCTGCTGCTGTTGGGTTACTACCGACACGGAGTCCTCTGAAGTTTGTGGAGACTCCCATTGGACGTTTGGAGACATGCTGCTGTTGCTGCTGCTGCTGCTGCTGCTGTTGCTGTTGCTGCTGCTGCTGCTGCTGTTGCTGCTGCTGCTGCTGCTGTTTTGCCGTAATCTAGATGCCTCCCAGCTGCTAGTCTGCAGCAGCAGCAGTTGCTGCAGTCGCGCCTTTTGTCTTAGCATATCCCTTAGTATGTCTGTCTCTGTCTCCTTCCCTTCCTTAGTGTCTCCTTCTTCTGCTGCTGCAGCAAGCGAGTCCTGCAGCAGTAGTTGCTGCTGCTGCTGCTGCTCCTGTTGCTGCTGTCCTCGCTGCAGCAACCCTGAAGTTAACGTCCTCATGGCCTCAAGAGTAAATGCGTCCCTCGCTGCATGATAACCTGCTGCTGCTGCTGCTGCAGCAGCAGGAGCAGCAGGAGAAGCAGCAGCAGAGTCTGTTTCCTCGGCTTCTCCTTCTCCTTCTTCCCCTTGCGTATAAGCCACAAGACTCCACGCATCTGCTGCCGGTGCTGCTGCTCCTGCTTCTTCTGCTTCTGCTGCTTCTGTTGCTGCTTCTTCTGCTTCTGCTTCTGCTTCTGCTGCTGCTGCTGCTGCTGCTGCTGCTTCGTCTTCTTCCTCATCTATTTCTGCTGCAGTAGTTTCTACCTCAAGATTTATATTTTCTTCTTTTGTTTCTTCTCTTATACAATTCAATTCTTCTTCTTCTTCTCCTGCTGCTGCTGCTGCTTCTGCTGCTGCTGCTGTTTCTTCCTCCTCTTCTGCTGCTGCTGCGAATTCTGCTTCTTCATCTACCTCTTCTGCTACTTCTTCTTCTTTTTCTTCTTCTCTTTCTTCTTCTTTTTCTTCTTCTTCTTTTTCTTCCTTTTCTTCTTCTTTTTCTTTATCTAAATCATTTGCTGCTGCAGTGTTTCCCCATGTAGAGTCATCATCATCATCTGCTGCTGCTGCTGCAGCTGCTGCTGCTGCTGCATCTTCCTCATCAGCTGCTGCTTGCTGCTGCTGCTCTTGTATGTCGCCAACAAACGGGTTTGCTGCCTCTTCCCTTTGCTGTTCTTCATCATCCTCTGCTGCTTCTGCTGCTGCTATTGCTGCTTCTTCTGCTTCTTCTTCTTCTGCCGCTGCTGCTTCTGCTTCTGCTGCTGCTGCTGCTGCTGCAGCTAGCATTCCTCTTTGCTGCTGTTGATACTGCATGCTTGCTGCTCTTTGCTGCTGCTTAATATCTTTCCTGCTGCTGCTGAATATTTCTCTCTGGAAGTGCAGCAAGTCTTGCTGCAGTGCTTCCCTCCATCCGTCATCTAGCTGCTGCTGCAGCGAAGCAGCAACAGCACGTCGCCGCTGCTGCAGCTGCTGCAGTTGCTGCACCTGCTGCGGGTCTTCCTCAGTTGCTGCACCTTCCCATGCATCCCTACGACTGTAACCAAACACGCTGTCTTCTTCTTCCTGCTGCTGCTGCTGCTGCTGCTGCTGCAGAAACTCGTGCTGCTGCAGCAGATCCTGCTGCTGCTGATGATGATGATGGTGGTGAGAACGACGGTGACGACGGCTGCTCTTGCTGCTGCTGCTGCTGCTGTGTTTATGCTTACCCTTAGCTGCATATGCTGCTTCTGCTTCCTCTGCAGCAGCAGCAGCAGCAAATGCTGCACTGTGGTGTCTTGACGGGGAGAGTTGAGGGAATGGTTGGGTATATCGGGCAGCAGCAGTAGCAGCAAAATCTGCTGGTGTTGCTGCTCCTGCTGCTGCTCCATAGCCTCTGCTGTACTGCTGCATAGGAGCAGCAGCAGCAGCAGCAGCAGCAGGATCTATAGGTTCCTCAATTCTACCAAACCTTGGTGACCCAATAGGACTAATATGATCATAACGGCAATTTATTTCTTCTTCTTCTTCTTGCTGCTGCTGCTGCTGCTTCCCTCCCCTCCTTAAATACATCTGCTGCTGCTGCTGCTGCTCTTGCTGCTGCTGCTGCTGCTGCATTTCTTCTTCCTCTGCACTATCAATAGTAAGAGTTTGCTGCAGCTGCTGCAGGGATGTCCATCTAGGCTTGGGGTGTATTGTGCTGCAGCCATGACGGATACGTCTATGCCATTTATGCTGCTCCTCTATTATATAAGAAGAATTATCTATTTCTTCCTCTTGCTGCTGCTGCTGCTGCTGCTGCAGTAGCTGCTGCTGCAGTTGATGCTGCTGTAGTTGCTGCTGCTGTAGATGCCATTGATGTATACGATGCTGTTGTAGATATTTATCTCCTTTTTCTTCTCCTTTATGAATTAATAACTTCTTCTTTAATCCTGATAAAAAGCCCGTCATAGATACATCATTATTATTATTATTTATATAATTATTATTATTATTTATATAATTATTATAATTATTATTATAATTATAATCAATTAATTCGTCATTCTCTTTATGCTTATGACGACGACTACGACGTTCTTCTTTTCTTCTATAAGAAGAAGAAGAAGGAAGTTTTATTCCCTCCATAGTAATTATTCAGGTGTATGTACACCTCAACTATATGCTATAAAGAAGAAGATGGAGAGAAAAAGAGGGGAAAAGGAAGAAAATAAAGAGGCTACATGTATGAGAAAAAGAAGAAGATGACGATAAGCGATTTGTTCTTCTGTTTTTGCTGCTGTTGCTGCTGTTGCTGCTGTTTCTGTTGCTGTTCCTGCTGCTGTTGCAGCAGATCACGGCCTCAAGCTGTTCGTGTTGATCTGAAGGAAATTGGTGTATCAAGGAAATATACGAATAAAAATAAAAGAAATAAAAAATAAATAATAATAATAATAAAGGTAATTTAAGGAAAAGAACAAAAAAAGATCTTTTTATGCCCTTGAATTACCCTCCTATACAGTATATATATGTATTATACCGCGACAGGAGGAAAAATTCATGAATATGACGGTAAATCACCTTTATTTGGAGAAAATAAAAGAAAATTAATTAAAATAAATTAAAAAATATTAAATTTAATCATAAATTTCCTTAAAATACAAAAGAAAGCAATTAATAAGGGGGGCTGCAGCTGCTGGTCAATAATAAACAACAAACTTGAATAATAAGGCGGACCTTATTATAAGAAGGATATCTTATTTATTATCCTTTTTATTGGATTTATTTGTAAATAATAAATTAAAATATATTTTATTTATTCTTTTTAATTTACTTTTTTATAATTTATTCGCAAGAAAGTCCTGATTTCTTCCTTATTTCTTCTATATACCTATTTACTACAACACCATCAAGGGGTGTTATATATAATAAAATGTTACCTACTACTGGTGTTCTTTTTATTCATTAAATAAGAAATAATTTTATATTTTATTGAATAAATATTAAAATATATTTTATAAATTAAATAAAATTAATTAGAAAACATAAAAAAATAATTATTTTATATTTACCTCTGATCTGTTCATCATGCAGAAGAAGAAAGCTGAATAAACAATAAACCGCCAGACAGTCCGTCAGCAATATAATGAATATTTTTCTTTCTTTTCTTCTTTTATATATTTAAATAATTACAATTATTACTTTTACTTTTAATTAAATAATTATTTTTAATTTATTTCCCCCTTTAATCATAAAAATAATGCTCGAGCTGTAGGCCGGATCTGCCGCCAAGTTTCCTTTCTTCAGTTCATATAAGAAGGAGTTCAATATACACCTGAGAAGAAACTATTCAAAATAAATATTTCCCTATTTATTTTTTAATAAATAAGTAAAATAAATAAATAAATAAATAAATAAATTGTTTTTTTTTATGTTGTCTTACTTGTGCATGCCTTAGTTCATTGATAGATCAGTTGCTTACTGCTCGCGACCACCGGTCGGTGACTGCTGTATACACCCCAATAAGCAGAAAAAAAAAAGAAATAAATAAAAAAATAATTTTTATTTATTTAGCTATTTATTTTATGATAAAAAAGAAACAAAAAAAACTCACATATATTCCTTTTTCTCTTTCTCCCTTTCTCTTAGCTATAGTATTAATAGTAATTAATATATACATATAATAAACAAACAAAGAATTGTTTTTCTTGTATAATACACACATGCATCATTAATATAAATAAACAACATCTATATAAACACATAAATATACATATAAATAAAAAAGGAATTATTTAATTAAATTGTATTTTAATTATTTTATTTGTTTCTTTCCTGTGTTTCTTTTTATATCTTCTTATGACTAGAAAAGGAGAAGATACACAAAAAAAAAAAAGATAAACAATTACACTTATTTCTCTCTCTTTGTTGTTATCTTAGGAGGAATAAATAAATAAATAATATATATTTATTTATTTATTATTATTTATACTATAATATAATTAGGACTCTCCTCCTAAGAGTTACATTAATTAAGAATTAATTTACCCAAAAAAGACGATCCTCTGCTTCTTTTCCTCTAATTAAATAAAAGAATTATTTATTTAATTATATATAATAAATAAATATTAATAAATAAATAAAGAGAATAAATAAATAATAAAAAAAGAAGAAATAATTATTAATTAAGAGGAGGTAACATAAATAGATTTTCCTCCTCTTGTGAATTTCTTTGCTTTTTACCTTTTAAATAAAAAAGGAGAATAAAAAAAAAATAATTATTTAATTAAATAATTATTTATTTTATTTAATTAAATAATTATTTATTTATATTTCCTTTAATATATTCTCTTGCTAATAATAATTAATAGTAAATAAAAAATAAATAATATAAATAGTAACTCTTTATAGGATAAATAAACAAGAAAAAGTAATAAAAAAAAAAGAATAAAAAAAAAGTATTAACTATAAGACAACTATTCTCTTATTAACTACATAAGGAGAATAAATAAGAGAGAATAATTATAATAAAAAGAGGAATAATAAATAAAGAAAAGAATTATAATAAATAAAAGAATTAAAATATATAATAATTAAAAGAAACTAATTAAAATAAATAAAGAAAAGAAGAAAAAATAAATAAATAAATATTTCCTTACTAGCTCTCCCTGTGAGGAAATATGAATAAGAGGGGGAAAATCTAAACAAGAATAAAAAAAAAGAAATAAATTAAATAAAAATTAAATAAATAAATAAAAGAAGAATAAAAGAAGAATAAAATTGAATAAATATAACGAATACAGCAGCAGCAGCAGCAGCAGCAGCAGTAACCCCTACAGTCTTTGTGCTCCTCCCGTTGAGCCTTCTATACAATAAGAGGAAAAAAGAGGAGAAAAGAGTATAAATTGTCTAAAATGTAAATATAAAATATAAATATAATATATAAAAATAAAATATAAATATAAATTATATAATTTATAAGTATTTTATTGTTGTTTCCTCTCCTGCATGCATAAGGCGCATAATAGATCCTTTCTTTATGTATATATATAGTGGGTAGACAGATCCCTTATTTATATATAAGACGTGGCGGTGTTAGAGGAGAAAAAAGAGAGAAAAAAGAAGAAAAGCTTTGAATAATTAAATTGATAAATAAAAATTGAATATTTTTTGCATAAAAAGAAGAAAAAAATGAATTTTCTTCCTTATAAAGAAGAAGAAACCTCTTTATTAACTGAGCGGCGCCGAAGACTCCTGCTGTGGATAGGAAGAAGGGGAAGAAAAGGACTAAATAAACTGGATATTCTTTTGATCATTGAATAAAAATAATAAATTGTAGTAAATAAAAAGAAAATAAAAAAGAATTCCTTCATAAATATATTTTTCTTAAAAAAAAAAGAAGAATAAATACAAGAAGAAAGCACAGGGATCGTGTCGTCGCTAGTCGTCGTCGGCCGTGAGATCTGCGGTGTACAGGCAGCTCATAACTTGTCAACAAATTTGTTGCTTTCCTCATGATAAAAAAATAATATTCTTTTATTTTTTATCATTTTCTTTCTTATAAAAGAATATTTAAAACATATATTCATCTCTTTCTTCTTTTTTTCTTCTTTCCTTTCTTGCACGCTCTGGTGGTGGCGGCGAACTCGCGAGTGTGTCAAGAAGGGTGAGCCCCGGTATACTATTGAAAACCGGTTATCTTCTTCTTTTTTCTTCTTTTTTTTTCTTGTTTTTTCTTTTTGTGTATACATCATGTTTTTCACATACGTTGTAAGGCCTGGAGAGGCCCCAGAAGGCCGTGGGCCTCAATTTGAGCCTATATTCAGCTTTATTGCTAACTATAGTCTTCGTCTTGGTCTATTCATACTCTTCTCCGGTTACGTATGCCTCCTTATGACAGTATCAGCAGGAACAGACGATCCTTTGGCCCTCTTAAATGTACTTAGAGCTTCTCCTGAATCTGCTGGTAAGTATCCTTATAACAACTTATTCCTCTGCTGCTGCTGCTGCTGTTGCTGTTGTTGTTGTTGTTGTTGTTGTTGTTGTTGTTGTTGTTGTTGTTGTTGTTGTTGCTGCTGCTGTTGTTGCTGTTGTTGCTGTCTTCTTCTTCTTATCCTTGTTGTTCTTATAATAGGTGTTGTTGTTCTTGCTGCAGTTATTGGTGTTGTTGCTGTTGCTGCTGTTGGTGGTGGTGTTGCTACTGTTGTTGTTGTTGGTGGTGGTGTTGTTGTTGCTTCTACTGTTGTTGTTGCTGCTGCTGTTGCTGCTGTTTCTGCTGCTGCTGTTGCTGCTATTATTGTTGTCATCGTTGTTGCTGCTGTTCTTGTTGCTGCTGCTGCTGCTGCTGTTGTAATAAGATCATATTTTCTTTCTGCGCCTTTTTTCTGCTACTGTTTCCTTCTTGTCTTCTTATATAAAAATAAATATGCTAAAAATAAATATAAATAAATAAATAAATATAAATAAATAAATAAATAAATAAATAAATATATATTTTTTTTTTTTCTTAGGTAAATGTCCTCTATGGGCAGGACAATTAGGTTGCGGTCTTCTTATTATTGGATATTTAACTCTATTAGCATTCCAATCTCTTACTGATGATGATAGCAGGTATATAAAATAAATAAATAAATAAATAAATAAGTAAATTAATTAATTAATTAATTAATTAATTAATAATATATTATTATGTTATTAGGTAGACTTTTTTTTTGCTGATTATTAGAGTTATTATTATTAAT